TGTTAACCAAAATCATATAAAATTATCAGTTTAACCCTCTAATTAAAACAAAACAAAAATAAGAAATATGGGGCAGAAATATAATTTCACACAACCAAATTTTACCTTTTTTTTTTTCAAAGTCTCACATACATGTAATCCTAACATATCTTTAATTTAATTTAAATAAAAAAAAAAAACAACTTCCCACTCCCACATTCTCTATCATTCTCTTCCTCTCTCCTTCTATTACAAAAACAAAAATAAAAAAAATTTCTCACACACAATACGTGATTAACTTGTGATACTATTATAACGTATAATCCAATAAAAGTACTTCTCCACACGTGTTATCACGTCGTAGAAGCGTCTAGAAGTATACTTTAGTTTTTAGAGGCTCCCCCAACAGGCTGTCATAACCGCCACTACTTCTTGTCTTCTAATTGTCCATGTGATTTGCCTTGCCAAGTCTGCAAACTTTCTTATGCTTTGTGACTTATATGATAGTTCGTTACTTTCCTTCACATGCCCTCTCAGCCACGTGGGCAACACTCTGGCAAAAAGTTGAGGTTGCCCACTTTTTCCAGTTGCAAGCTTTTTCTCCTGAAATGACTTTTACCCCTTCATTGTATTCTTCTCCGTATTTTTGCTTTTTCTCTTCTTTTTTATTTTTTATTTTAATTAGCCAAATATTAAATAATAAATAAATAAAATAAAATAACACTAACAAGCAAAGAGAAGGCAATTGCAAATCCAAGCAGCTCAATGGTTCTGGATCTCTGGCCATAGCTAATCGAAAGAGAAATTTTCAATTTATCAGAAGAACGGTTTGGTACATTAAGTATTATAATAAAAACGATTAGAATACTTTTTTTAATATTCAACTATTTATACTGTAACTTTTGTTGTACCGAGTCGGGTTGACGGTACACAGAAAATCTCTCTAATCGAATAGCCCCAGAAACAAGGGACCCACCATGTTAAATTTTTTAAGTCCCTTTTTTTTCTTTTTTTTTTGTAATTTCAATATTGTATTTTGATGAAATACAAAGAAGATGAAATTACAAGTTATCAGATTCTTCGTCTCTCTGCTTTTGTGGCGTTCACGTTAAGCAGTGAACGAACATTTCTTTTCCCCTTCCATTTCTGGCAACATCCCGTTCGCCCAGAGAATTTTCTCTCGTTTTCTCGGCTGAGATTTTCCTGGAAACTCCGGAGCTTTCATTTCCCAGATAAGTTTCTCACTCCCCAGAAGCTTGGTTTTTCTCAAAGCTTGTTTTTTGAGCTGAATTGGGGGTCGGCTGCTTCTCTCTCAGTTGGGATTTGTTTTTAATTTGGTGGGCAGTAACAAATCCTGATTTGGAGGGAAAAGTTGATGAATTTGTTGTTTTTATGGTTGGGGAAAGAAATCCCAGTTGAGCTTTCAAGGTAGTAGCTTCAGATTTTCCAGAAGGAGGCTTTTTGGGTGCATTTGGCTTCTGGGAAAAGTGCTTTTCTTTTGCTTCTGGTATGCTGCTCTGTTTGTTTCTCATTTGTTTTGCTGTTGCATGAGAGAATCGTGAGAAACTGTTTTGTGTTGAATTAAGTTTTGGGCTTGGGTTCGTTTATCTTGTGCAAAGGACTTGTTTGTTTCTCGGGAAAGTTGGGGAAACAGGATATATAGTGGTTTTAATAAGTTTTGTTTCCCTGTGTACTTAATTGGATCAGCTACTGAGTTTTGAGCATTGAGGTCTGTAGTGAGATTACGTTTGAGTTTTCGGTGTAGCTCAAGCGTATTGTACGAGTTGTTGAGTTTGTGATGGGGAAGCAAAGAGGAAAAAAGAAGAAAAATGCAGGAGAAAATTCAGGTGATAGTTCGAATCAAAGTGAAGTCGGGGATACTAGCCCGGAAGCCAGTGATAAGAACACAGAAGTTTTCATTTCAATGTCTCAAGAACTGAAGGACGAGGGGAACAAGTTGTTTCAGAAGAGGGATGTTGAAGGAGCTTTGTTGAAATATGAGAAAGCCCTCAAACTGCTTCCGAGAGACCATATCGATGTATCCTATCTTAGGAGTAACATGGCAGCGTGCTATATGCAGATGGGGTTGAGTGAGTACCCGAGGGCTATCAATGAGTGTAATTTGGTGCTTGAAGTCACGCCTAAGTATTGTAAGGCGCTGTTGAAGAGGGCAAAGTGTTACGAGGCTTTGAATAAGTTGGATTTGGCTCTGAGAGATGTTGGCACTGTCTTGAACCTGGAGCCAAAAAATGTCATGGCAATGGAGATCGCAGAACGAGTGAAAAACGTACTTGAGGAGAAGGGGTTGAGGGTGAATGACACAGTAATTGAGTTGCCTCTGGATTATGTTGAACCAAGTCATGGTTTGCAGCCGGGGAAAGTAATGAAGTTGAAGAGTCGGAAGAAGAAGAAGGGAAAAAAAGATGATGAGATGAAGTCCGAGGAGAATTTTGAGGAGAAGGCTGAGGACAAGATTGAGGAAGAGAAGGCTGTGGACGTAGCTGAGGAAGAGAAGTCTGTGGAAATAGCTGAAGACAAGAAGGATGTGGAAATAATCGAGGAAAAGAAGGTAGAGGTCAAGGTAGTTGTGGAGGAGACAATCAGCAGCATAAAGGAAGAAGGGCCTAAAAGAAGTGTGAAATTGGTATTTGGAGAGGATATAAGATGGGCTCAGTTGCCTGTATATTGCACCCTCCTGCAACTAAGAGAGGTTGTTCGTGATCGGTTTCCAAGCTCCAAAGCAGTTCTTATCAAGTACAGAGACCAAGAAGGTGATTTGGTCACAATAACTAGTAACGAAGAGCTGAGATGGGCTGAAGGATCAACAGAATCGGAAGGGTCTGTCAGGCTTTACGTAGTGGAAGTTAACCCCGAGCAGGATCCGTTCTTAGAGAAACTGGAAATCGAGGAAAACAAGCAACATAGCCTAGCTGAGAATGGCATGGTAAAACACAAGGATTCAAAGAGGCCACCTTGCATTGAGGATTGGATAATCAATTTTTCTCAGCTGTTCAAGAACTATGCCGGGATTGAATCTGATGCATACTTGGATCTTCATGAACTTGGCATGAAGCTTTATTCGGAGGCAATGGAGGAGACAATCACGAGTGAAGAAGCACAGGACCTGTTTGACATAGCAGGAGAGAAGTTCCAAGAGATGGGAGCTTTAGCTCTGTTCAACTGGGGAAATGTTCACATGGCCAGGGCGAAGAAGAAGTTGTATTTCACCGAAGATTCTTTGAAAGAATCTATCATTTCAAATATCAAAAGTGCATATGATTGGGCACAGAAAGAATACATAGAAGCAGGAAGGAGATACGAAGAAGCGCTGCAGATCAAACCAGACTTTTATGAAGGCTATTTGGCCCTCGGGCAGCAGCAGTTTGAACAGGCAAAACTTTCTTGGTATTATGCAATTAGCAGCAATGTTGATCTGGAGACGTGGCCTTCCACAGAGGTTCTGCGACTTTATAACAATGCCGAAGACAATATGGAAAAAGGTATGCAGCTGTTCGAGGAATTGGAAGAGCAACGCCTGACTGAACTCTCCTGTCCAGGTAGCGTCAAAACACAGGTGCAGAAAATGGGTTTGAATGGAATTTTCAAAGACGTATCATCAAATGAAGCTGCGGACCAGGCTACAAGCATGAGATGTCAGATCAATCTCCTATGGGGCACTATGCTCTACGAGCGATCTATTGTGGAATTCAAGTTAGGGCTACCTGTATGGAACGAATGTCTAGACGTCGCAGTTGAAAAATTTGGACTAGCCGGGGCTTCACCTACAGATATAGCAGTCATGCTCAAAAACCACTCTTCAAATGATAATGCATTAGAAGGTGAAACAACTCAAAGTTTTGCACTCCGAAACGAATCATTTGCTGCCATTTCTTTTAATTACCCTAGACATTTAAGTAGCTCATTTTTCTGTTGTTACAGGTCTGGGGTTCAAAATTGACGAGATAGTTCAAGCTTGGAACGAGATGCAAGAAGCGAAAAAGTGGCAGACTGGAATTCCATCATTCCGGTTAGAACCATTACTGCGAAGACGAGTTTCCAGAATTTATTCTGCCTTGGAGCATGCTTAAGCTTCACGGTATCAAGTTTGGGTGCTTGAAAAGGTAGCATTGGACTAGACACACTTTCACAACCATGTTCCCACGGATTGGATCATATAATCATGCACATTGAGGTAGGCATAATCTGATTTCTTTACATCTTGAATTCGTTCTATTTCTTTTGGTTGCTTTTCGTGTCACGCTTAAAACTTCGTGCACAAATTCATCGTCGAGTAATTCACAAGTGACTCGCCGCTCGTCTCTTTTGCAGGTTTTCTTGCTACTGCCCTGTAAACTACATTCAGGCTTTTAGATTACGATCTATTAGTTTTATACAAAGTGGATCGTTTGTGGATTTAAATTCTGATGTGAGTAGATTGTTCAGAAAACAAATTCTTTTCATTCTCTTTCGATCGTAAGGAGGGTCGGAGGTGAAGTTGCAGATCTTCATTTTAGTCAGTTTCTGCGTTCATCTGCTTCGTTTTACAGTTTGTCTGAATATTTGTACTTGTAACTGAGGCGTCAACGTCGACGACTGACGGCATGTTCTTGATTGTATTTTTTGTGAAATCCATGTTATTTTGGGGTGTAATTTAACATTAATTTGATAAGTACAGTGTGTTTTTAGGGGGAAAATTTGTATTGGAATATGAGGTTCATGTTACAAACATCACTTCCTAGTTTGTTTTTCCTCTATTTGTTATGTCTGGAATTATTTATTACGTAGGTAAAAGATCTTGCGAAAACTCAATAATTTTATTTTTCAAAGAAATTGTGAGCAATAATAAATCACGACTTATGTGACTAAATAAATATCCACACTGCCGCTCAAAATAACTTGCAAAATTTTCCTTTTCACGTACCTAAAAAATCGTAGAAAGCTTAAAAATCACAATTTTCGAAAAAACTATGAGCTATAACTCATGATTCTCGATCGTTTTCGTAAAATTCTACAAAATTCACTTCAAGATCAAAGATCAACTCAGCCATTTGTTTGGCATTCACATTGCGCCAAATATTTTTCCATCCCCAATTTCGGCACCTCTTAGAGTGACGGACAAAATACATAAAATCTTAGACATTACAAAAGACTTGGCGGAAAACCGAGCTAGTTTTATGACTCATACAGCCGACCTCACTTAATGGGATTAGGCTTTGTTGTTATTTATCTTAATCCATTTGGGGTTATTAACCTGTACGCACAGCCATCCAAGAGCAGATAGCAGGCGATTTACATACAGTATCCTACACAGCTTCGGATCTATTCCGGCCGGAAGCTGACGAGATTAGGCAGGGCATCAGACTGAAGCTTCCTGATCTCGGATGCAGTCACCTTGCACGATTCCAAGTTTAGCGCACGTAAATTCTTCAAAGGCTTCAAGTGCCGCAATCCGTTGTTGGAAATGCGAGAATTTGAAACGTTCAGTGACACCAATGCAGTCAATCCTGCATTTTTCAGACGAGAAAGAAGCATGAGAAGAGGTACAGATGAAATAAAATGCCACGTTCGGTCGCTGAAATCTGGTTAGAGTTACAACAACGGATCACTGAAGCAATGCAGCAACTGCTCTAGGAGAAGAAAATAAGAGAATAGAAGCATGAAATACCAGAAATCAACTCCAAAGAGTTATCGTCAGGTTGCAGTTCTGTGATAAATTTAGCCATGTAAGACGGGTGAGATCTTTGATATTCTTCACACCAGCATCAGTCAATCCTCCACCGCATATTTCAAGAGATTGAAGGTTCTTGAAGTCTGATTCCACCAACAAAAATAAAAGCATACAGAAGTGTTACTTTAAAACGAGAAGATTACTGCTAAGTTGCGGAAGTTAAAACGTAAAATCAAATCCCCCCGTTCTATTCTGCAAATGTTATAACATACATTTTAAACAGCTTGCTCCAGAATCTGAAATGTGAGCGCCAAAAAGGTCCAGATGTGTCAATCCCGTAAGACCTGCATCAGCAAGGCATAAATTCTTACTAGGACAGAAGGCTTCAAGCTTCCACCAAACACACAGGAAGTGAATGAAGCTAAAACATTTGATTAATTTGAGTGGAATTCGATGCTTCTATCACAAGATTTTCTCAACAAATAGCCGAGCTATTCCCTCTACGGCTTCAAAATACACAAAAATCCTTACTTGTAATAAATGCAAGTCCATCATCAGTAATATGGCGAGAATCCAGATTAAGCGATTTGAGAGATGTCAATCCAGATATTATTTTCAAGCCACTGTCAGTTACTGGAGTGAACGACAAGTTCAATTTTTCGAGATTTTTCAAACCTGGAAGTGATAACAAACAGCGTAATAAGATGAACATGCACCAAATATTACAAGCTGATTAGCAGAACAATTATGTGGTGCTGTTTAACTTTGTACATTAATGGCACCTTCAAAGAATTTGAGCCACAAACTAACAAGGTAGCTTAAATTCATAGCTTCAGCATACTCTATAGCTTACGCTGAACTGGAAAACATTCAGATCATAACTATGCAACTGTGTGATGCAATGCGTTCATCACCTGAGAGATGACGAAGCCCGTTGCTTCCAACTTCAGTATCAGATAGCTCCAAGTTCTTCAAGATTGACAGCCCTTAATATAGAAACAACACCACAAAATCAAATAGGTGGCCACGTCTTTCGACCTCAAGCATTTCTAGCAAACATTTCATGCTAGTTACGAATGAAACACCATGTCCCATTTCCAAACCAATTTAAACAAGTGAAAAAAGCTAGACCATGCAGACTATAACACTGTTATCCAAGTGAAAGATGGTAGAACCAGAATAGAACCTTCCAAATTAGCAAGCCCCTCGTCACCTATCTTACAGGAATCCAGGTTCAAGCTCACCAATTTTGTTAGACCTGATACAAGCGGTAACGAATATAAACAGTTTGAACAAAAGCAAAAACTTAATATAATATACAGCATAGTTGTATGTGTGTGTGTGTGTGAGAGAGAGAGAGAGAGAGAGAGACCTTTAGATGCATCAAACATGCATCTGTAATATTGTTGAATCCCAAGCTCAAAACCTTCAAGTTTTTAAGTCCTGTAGAAACAGTGTGTAAAAGTCAAGATTACCAACAATTCAGCAACATAAAAATTATAAAAATCGGGTGAATCGGCAAAAGAATATGGTTACTGCGCAAACTCAAGATTACCAGCAACCTAGCCAGTTGAAAATATAGAAATTGAGCAAACCCGTTAAACAAATAGCCAGAACCATGTGGCAACAAATATTGTCACTCACCCGAAAACTTATCGCATCCTTCATCAGATAGTTCGCATCTGTTGAGATTTAAGTATGCCAGGGCAACAAGAGCTGCAGTAGAAACAATTAGTTTTAACAAAGCATCGGATGCCATATTCTTTACCACCTAAAATAACGGAACAAAAATTGTGCAACAGAGACCTTTAAGAAGTTTGTCTTTTAGAAATACTAAAGTGAACATTTTCGTTGAAAAGTTGAAGCAGACTAGAGAATTATTATCATTGTTATAAACAGAATCATTAGAAAGCACTAAACAGCAAAGAGAAAGCAAACCTGAAATCGACTGCAGACATGAGGCTGTAACATTGCATCCCTCTAAATTCAGCATTCTAAGCTTGTGCAAGCCTGCCACACACAAATGTACCCCAAAAAACTAAGCATTAAAAAGTACTGATAAACAAGCAATATGAGGTGTATTTGTCGGATGTGTGTGTGCGCGCACAGACACACGTGTGCATCCTACTACACAAACACAATTAAGGAGAGGGAAAGCAGACTTTTTTGGTGTATCACTATGGAAACTAGGGAAACAATATTATACCTTTCAAATAAGAAATGCCTAAATCAGTAATGTTACAGTTGGATAGCTGCAACTCATTCAGGTCAGTAAGCCCTAGGAAGTACAAAAACAAGAGCAACATGAGTTGATCCAAACTGAGATTGTGCAATTAAGAAAGACAGAAAAAATTAATGACAACGCTACACAAATTCATCTACCATCTCAAAAAATACCTGAGATTGCCTTCAAATCTGAATCTGTGATGCTTCTACAACATCTTACATTAAGAGACTTTAGCTTCTTCAAACCTGCAAGTATACGGTTACAATTTGTTAACCCCCGATGAATCCCTAATTTCACATACTAAGATCTTTCACTAACCACTCAAATTGTAAACTCGTGACAGTGCAACAGAGCTCATGGCCTCAGTTAGTTTTCTCTACTCCTAATTCTCATGGCCTCAAGAAGTTCCATTTAGTTAAACGGTCATAATTCGTTTTTTAGCAGGACAAACCTTTAAGATGAACAAATCCACCATGAATATCTGAACACCTCTCCAGGTCCAACTTTTCCAAGTTAAGTAAGTCAGAGAAAGCACTCATCCCTTCAGCACCTATTGCATCGCTCCGTTTAAAACTTAAGGATGTCAAGTTTGAAAGACCTACAAAACAAGGTCAGAATAAGCATTCACAATCACATGAAAAGTTTAACTGATAAAAAAGACTAGGTGGAATTAGTAAGGAAAGGATCAAATTAAATGAACTTTATCATCTCTAGCAATAAACCGTATCATTAAGCGAAAAGTTAGCACAAAATAAACAAGATAACTGAAAAATGCTTAAATTGGAAAAATAGAAAAGATACAACGAATAAAAGAAAGAGATATTACCACTTATGAATTTAAGTCCCTGTTCAGAGACATGGTCACAGTAATTATAAGTTAATGCTCGGAGGTTCGAGCAGCCTTTCAGAAGAGCCAACCCAGAATCTGTCACCTCTGAACCGGAAAGATCAACGGAAAGTAAATATGAACCTTGTGAAGAGATGACACTCATCCAACTATCTTTCACATCAGGGTATTCCCCCAAACCAATATCCTGCAGTCACAAAAAAAAAAAAAAATCTAATACATGACAAAGCCCTTCCAAATTTCCAAATTTCAAGCACCTACTAGCACATTACCTCGAGGGCGCAATCTCTAAAAGCTTCAAGAGAAACATCAGTAAGAGAATTGGAACAGACCAATTCATTGAATATCTGTTGACTAAGATCCCTTGGCAGCATCGAAAACGAGTTATATTTGTCAATGTCCTGTAAACGATATGTAAATATAAATCACAACCTGAAAATTACTACACATATAATCTCCTCTCACAACACACACAACTTCAAGCTTACATTCCACAGAAAGCAAGTACCTGGCATATTTTACGAATGCACAATTCCAAGAGAGATGGGCAAGTCCCTGCTCCTCCTGGAGGCAGCTGTACAGCGGGTCGAAAAGATGAATTCCTCAGCCATTTTGAACTGCTACTCTTACCATATCTTCCAGCCACGACGCTGCGAACTTCATCTTCAATGACCGGTTGGTCTCGCTTTCTTGAGCAAATTCCCCCCATAATCTAACCGCGGATTGAACTATCACTAAACCTCACGAAATTCGCAGCAAACGAACTAATTTCCGGCCTATTCCATGAAGAGGTTCATGGGATTGAAATCTTATTCACCCTGGAAGGTAAAGAACAAAAAGTATCATTGTATTTACATCACAAAAGTTACTACTAAAACGAAAAAAAGGAGGAATACCCGCATCAAAAAACCAACTTTCGTACACAAAAATCTTCACTTTATACGAATAAAACAATCAAACAAGTGCGAAAGTTGCTAGAATCGAAAACGGAAAATTACCCACATCAAGAAATCAACGTTTACACAGAAAAATCATCACTTTCTACGGACAATCGATCAAATAAGTACCAAAGTTTAAAACTTTACTCTTGGGTTCTTTCAGTTTTGGTGTCACAGTTATATTTTCTCGGATACCAAACAGAAACTAAGTGTAAAACTATCAGAACAGAAGTCCCACCGATCAACTAGCAGAGCGAGCTGAGAGAGAGAGAGAGAGAGAGAGATAGGAACTGAAATATTAACAGAGTAGGGGCTGGAGTTGCGACTTGGCAGGAGGAGAGAGAGAGGTGAGGTGAGAGACGGACCTCACCCCCATCTGATCTTCGCCACGTGGCATTTGGCGGGGATTAGTCATTCTTTGTCTGCTATAATCGCGACTAGCTCGATTGGGATAACGAGAGAGAGACACGCCACTGAAGGGCCATGGTTTCCGTGGGTCCCTTCTCCGTCGGTCCGGCCCCACTGCGAACGTCGTTTTCTTCTCTTTTCCGCCGGCGGGAAAAACAAGGCGCTGCCGCGTGTTATGCTAGTACTTAGCAAAAGGATGGAACAATGGGCCTACTGAACCCAACAAAGCATAAGAAATTAGAAAGACAAAATGAAGGCTAAATTTAATCTACCGGTGGTTTCGCCCAGGATTTCGCAGGAGTATTTTAGTCTTCAATTATCACAGTTTTGTGATTTACAAGCATTATAAATCGAATTTAGATCGTACCATACAGGATACGGATTTGAAATTCATCATCAACCACTAAATTATCTCGTAAAGCAAATATTATATTGTAATATTAATAGCAATCCAAACTTATTTCAATGTAGTACATTTACTCTTTTTATAGAGAGTGTATTACACCGTCATATATTTTTATTAGTACACGTGTATAGTGTAACTCTCGCACTTAAAAGTTAGTCGCATGATGCAGATTGAGTTGTGGTCGAATTTACTTGGCGTGGAAGGAGAACAGTCTCAAACATAAATGATGAACCGGTGAGGTGAAGAAGAAAAGGAGAATTATCCTACAAGAAATGCTTAGAATCATACAAATAATAATCGTGGTTAGCAATGATGTTAACACTAGTAAATAAATATTCACAAGAAAAAACTGGCAGGATCATATGATCTGACATTAATTTCATTTAGATTTCAATTTTATTGTAGGTGGGTTAGTGGAAGGCCCTTGTTTTCATGACCTCAACCAAGCGTGGGCGTAAGCGGAATGGGAATCAGATGTAAAATGAAATTTGTACAGAACTTTAAATTTATAGGCATTTTGTAATTTTATATTATTAAGGGATAAAATTATTGAAAAAATTAGAGACGAATTGTCAAGTTGATCAAACTTTATTAAAAGAATAATAATGAATGGTAAAACTTTTGTCATGTTATCAATGTCTTGACCTTATCTAGATTTAGCTGGCAAGAAGACTTAAAAGTGCTTTTGAGGCATAGTCTCGTAGAAGCACATAAAAGTGCTTGTAAGGACTTTCGGTTTCGTTAAAAGCACTTATGAGCAAAAGGACTTCCTACAAAAGCAGTCCCACACGAACCCTAAAACAGAACCAACCAAGATCATGCGTTATGGTGGAGTGCGTACCAACCAAGATCCCAGAACTTTCGCGGACCTGCTTTTTTAAGGAGTGACAATCACTTGCCAAAAAAGCTGAATAACTCCGCGGCTGTTGGGGGGGGGGGGGGGGGTGTGGAAGGATCAATTTAAACAAATTGCTTTTATAAGGAGTGACAATCACTTACAAAAAAGGCTGAAGTACAAATATGATTATAATACACAACAGATCTTCAGCTACACTCAGGCCATCAAAATTACTATCATGAAGCTACAACAGACCGGGCACTGTTCCGTCCCAGGCCAAGACCCAATCCTACTGGAACGTTTTCAGTTTTCGATTTCCCGTGGTTGTTACTATGGCTGCAATGGGCAGAATGAACGTGACCGTGATGTGGTGTCGAATTAGAATTTACATCGATTACAACGTGACTGTTGCCGTTTCTGCGGTGAGAATAGGCGTCCCCTTTCTGCAAGTTTGAAGAATTTATATCCCTCATTCCAATTCCCTCCTCATCATGAGCCGGTTCTTCAATGTGTTCCACATCTTCGTTGTAACCCTTGATCAAGAAATCCGAACAATTCTTCCTTATTCCGTGATCGAATGGATTTCTGAACCCACCACCTGGGCCTCTAAGGTAGTTATAGCGCATCATGTTTGCCATTTCGTTTGTTGTAATATTCCGTGATATCTGCAACAAGAGAGATTATTGACTAACAAATCGCTAAGACGCTCTTTACATAGAGCTGCTGCTGTGGGGAGAAAAACATCTAGAAATATTTGTACTTTTCAGATCAGAACAGAACAGTCTTCGATATTAGGTTTTTTTCGTTTTCATATTGAGCAACTCAATTTTAAAAATAAAATTTACCTGAGAAGCTTGGACAACGGTCAAAACCGCCACGCCAAAGAAGAGGAAGAAATCCATTATAAAAAATGAAAGAGCACCCACATGTCTAGTAGCAACAAAATTGATCCATGCTCCAAAAGAAGATGGACACAATGGATCGCTCGAAACTCCTGAAAGAAGAAAATTAATCTCCCTTAGCGGATTGAAGCACATATCGGCATGCAAACGATTCTATGCCTAGAGAAACTTCAGAAAATAGAGTTGGAAAAAAACTGGAACATACTCATAAGAGTAACCCCTCCAGTAAACAGCATCGCCAAAACTTCCAGAACAAGGAAAGCAAAGAAATCCCATTTGTTTTTCTGTATAGCATGAAGAAAGAGAATAGATTAAACTAATATAACATGAAAAAGTTGGAAAAACATTCCAGAACACCAAAACTTATGTCAGTGCACCTTGCCAATGCAATTGGATACCCAGGGGCAATGGTGGTCAAATTGTTCAACACAACGATCACAAGTTGGACAGTGCTTTGCACGAAGAGGCCTGACAATCTGATGACAACGCCAGCAAGTATGTTAGGTGATACGTTCTAAGAACATAAAAGGGTCATATATAAGTACCACAGTAGGCAACCAATAGTACCTTGCACGTTGCACAGAGCTGAGACCAATTACCAGCTAGCAAGGCAGGATTATTTATCTCAATCTTCAAAAGAGGCTCCTGTTAAAAAAATGAGAAACCAACGTGTTAACATACGGCAAGTCAAGAGCACATTATGATTCTTATCTATGATATGACAGTCATAATAATAAGCTTAACTGTAAGAAATCTTAAGTGGAACGGCCAGAGATGGAATAAAATATTATGTGGAAAGAAGGCGGAAATAAGATAAGATGAAGAAAGGTACGGTACAAACATCATCTTTCATATTTTGTGAATCATGGACATTCATTCGGATGTAACCTGGATCCTTGCTGCAATAAGAGCAATTAAAAAAAAATAATCAACCAAACATTTAATTAAGTGACATTGCTCTAGATGGCACCATAATATCTATGCATACATCCCCAAAACGATGTGTGTGTGTGTGTGCACAAGACAGAACATGAATTATTTTCATCATTGCAGTCAGTCTACAGCCAGCTAAAGTATCAACAAAACTCCACAGGTCTGATAATCAGAGAGTGAATGGTTAACATGTAGGCAATTAACATCATGGAACTCAGAAATTCTCTATATCGTACCTGCTGCATCTATAGAACATAACAAGCCCGGATGTTGCTAGGAAAACTCCTAGCCATGCAACAAAAACTGATCCAGCTGTTAATTTTGGCAGACTTGGTGCTGCAACAAAGTTGGACGGGGGAGAGGAGTCAGCGTAAGTATTGTACAATCCTTACATTAAGGGCACATACTGAAGTTTCATATAAAGTTCAGGGCAGATACCCATAATGACAGAATGAGTATAGGTCACCAGCAGCACAAAGATTATACACCAAAGTAGTGGCGCAAGTCCTAGTTTTGAAATTCCTCCAAGACGACTATTCCCATCACAGCGTTTGTCAAGCAGTCTTCTAGCATTCCCCTACAGAATCAAATTTATCAGAGCATGATCAGTTCTTTCCATTCTTTCATTTACGAATCCAACCGTGTACACATTATATGTACGGCTCAAACCAGAAAGAAGCACCAATCTAAAAAAGAAAAACATCAAGGAACTTCCTGTTAAGTCTATAAATAAAACTGTAGTGAGAACAGAAGAAAACAACAAAACCAATATTCTCCACTTGTTAGATATTACGAGGCATTCTTTCTAAACATAAAAGTCCCAGAAAAGAACCAATCAAAAGTTTAAAGGATTCATCAGATCATTGCACAGCTTGAAAACTGAAGTCCTCAAATTCACTGAACAAATAAGAACATTACTAACCAATGTTAAAAGTGTTTGGTTATGGAACACCTACAAGGAAAAAGGCAACTTGTCTGTGATTCTTATCAGCGGCAAGTTGTGCTGGTGTAAGGCCAGTGTTGTCTGTAACCATTAAGTCGTCCTTCTTTCCAGCCTGTACCAACACTGTACATGCCTCCAAGTTACCCCTGATAGCAGCCCAATGCAAAGGAGTGCAACCTGAGTCACAAAAAAGGCAAAGAATTAATAATTTTGCATAATAGGTGAAACAAAAGCACATTTCAGCATCCATAACCTAGTCATATAATAATGGAACGGAGATGGTACTAACCCTCTTTATCTTGGCGTCCTTTGTATGCATCCAGAAATAAAAGAAGACGTATGCAATCAGCAAAACCTTTATAAGCAGCCCTAAACACAAAAGGAAAAGAGTGAATCAAATTTACATGATAAAAGCAGAAACATAGTGCACATTTTCCATGTAGAAAATATAACATATCACTGGAAAGCGGTAGGGAAGTAGTTACAATTCACAAGAAATCAAAATATAATATTGTCACATACCAGTGTAAAGGGCTTCTCCCATCATTATCAGGAACATCAGGGTCAGCATTCCGTTTTGAAACAATATGGTACAGGAAAGCTGTCTGACCATATTGAGCCGCAACATGTGTTGTCTGTGATCATATCAATTTTGATCAGTTATCTTTCAGGCTCTTTCAGCAAACTTATAGGTCAAAATGGGGCCTCAAAGCTTTTAGCAAAACCGTGAGCCTAACATAAAACAAGCGTGCGAAACAACAAAAATTTGAGTTATCCACTTTCAGTTTAATATTGTTACATTGTATCACTAGATGTCATGTCTTTCAGTAGCCACAACTGAAGAAAATGATTAGCTGCTGGTTGCTAATATTGGATTTGACTCAAATTGATCAAAATTACCAGCAACACACATGACCTAAAGATCTTTAGTTTATGGAATAACTACATGAAAAATCCATTTAACAATGTGAATATCGTACATAGACTCGCTGATACTAAGATACAGATATGAATACACATCTTGGTGACAAGTTTTACACACCAATTTTCTCTCCCAAGATCCATAATCAACAAACCATACTATTATCTTAAGCAGGGTTAGTTAGGATTGTGAATTGGAGCATGAAGTAAAACTGACCTGATAGCCATACATATCGACAGCATTCACCCGAGCACCCTCTTGCAGTAATAGCTCCGCAACCTGGATTGCACCCCGCACCGCACTCCAGTGTAATGCTGTCTGCCCCGTATGATCTGCGGCATTCACATCTCCTCCATGCTGGCATTAACAAAACCAAGTAACATACTTGTTATACAAACTTATCCTGGATACGATTTTGTTTTCAATAAAAAACAGCAACAATCATAAATAACATCAAGAAAAACCAATAGCAACCTGCCCAATGCTAAATTTCACTTTTTTTCTCTTACGAAATGGTCATTCTAAAGCAAAAATCTATAGAACGAAAATTTCATTTCTCAGTTTCTTTTTCCATTTCTTAGATAGAAGAGAAGAATTATGAGAAAAAGGTTGGATTTTTAGTTAACCAAGTAGCACAGAATTTATCTACAACTCCTCCAATCAATACGAAATCTTGAATTAGCATAACCAACTTAAGCACATTTCATAAACCCATCAAAACAAAGAAAACCCAATTCACCTAACTCCATGGAAATGCAAAAACAAATAAAAATTGGGGGCAGAGAGTGCATGAAGAACCCTCACCTCAATAATATACTGGGCGGCGGCAGTGCGGTTATTGAGAGCGGCCCACTGGAGGGCATAGTAGCCGAGACCATCGGTTTCGGAAACAGAGCAACCCTCACACTCCACCAATCTCTGAAGCTTCTCCAAATCTCCATACGCAGCCGCCGTATACACGTCGTTTCGCAGACTCTCTTCCCCAATCCGATTGGCGTCGCCATTGTTGTTCGTTGAATTGGCTGAGACGGATCCAGGATCACCGGTTTGGACCTCATCCTCGACGACCTCGATCTCCGACGACATTTCTACGGGCAAAAACCAAAAATTGAGCAGCACGACCGGCGGAGCTGGCTTTTATTTAGTTTCGTTGACCTTCAATTTGCGATTAAATAAATCAATCGAACTGGGGTTGGGAATTTAGGGTTTTTCTGCGAAGCCGGCCGTGTTGACTGGGGTGGTGGAGAGAGAGAGAGAACGGGAGAGACGAAGCCAAAGGATTTGCCTATGGATTATCATTGGCCAAAGTCCAATATTTCATTTTTGGACTAATTGGATTTTTAGTAACATAATGATAACGTAGTTGGAAGATAAAAAAAAAATTAGGATTTAAATTCTGTAGAATTGTTAGTATTTAAGCTTAAAATTCAAAGTTGTGTTAATTTTTTGTTAATTGTTTGCCTGTGAGACTAAAAAAATAAAGTTAATTTCATATGTAGGCTAACATGCTGATAATTAACGAGTTACATAAAATTTATAAATTTGGAGCTAAATCCTACTTCACTCTAATAGTTTAATCCTAATTTTTGTATCACATGGGTTATTTTTTACTACCTAAAAACATTAGACTGGTCTACAGCTAATGGTGCGGCGCATGAACTTGCGTTGGTTGGTTTTTCGGAGATGAGTAATGTTGTTTGGGTTGATCGGCCCCCATCTTCGTTGATCTTTGTTTTGAACAATGATGGTCTGCCATGTCCACATTAAGTTTGTTGTGGTGGTGTTTGGGATGACGCTTCCACTCGGTGGAGGGGTCTTTATGTCCTACCCCTGTTCACTACTTGTTTGTTTCCTTGGTGTTTGCCTCTCTGTAGGCTTTCCTGTCTTTCTTTTGGCTTCTTTGCCTTGGCTGTTTCCCTTGTTTCCAAACAAACAACACAAACAAACAAACAAAAAAAAAAAAACATTAAACTTGCTTGGAAGCGCTTTTAAGAATAATGTTTTTGGATTTCAAAACCACTTGAAGTGCTTGATGCATGAAATACCAGTTATGTGCTTCTTATAGCGAGCACTTCAAGTGTTTTTTTATAATTCACTTACATTTTTACTAAAAATTAGTAACAAAAATATTTTCGTTTCAGCCATTTTAAAAATATTTTTGAACATTTTTTTCTAAATTTTTGTTCGACATTTCCCTTTTTTTTTTCACTTTTTATTTATTTTACGAGTGATGTTTTAGCCTAATTGCCAAATCTCGAGTCAATCAATATCCGAAGTGTGAAAATATATCATGTGGCAAAAGTGACATATTAAATACTTTGTTAGCTTGTATAACACATGAAGATATATCACGTAACAAAAACGGGACATGTTAACTTGTACTTGAAAATATAAGGTCTTAGTTTGATTCTTATAAAAAGTAAGGTAGTAACAAAATTATTATAATTAATTCATTATGCAATCAGGTATCGTTTGGTATGCAGACGGGACGAGACAGGACGGAATAGAACGGAACGGAGCGGGAGCAAAGATGCCATCGGATGGAAACAAGGTGGAAGAAGAAGGAGACGGAGAGGTTATAATTTTGTGTTCTACGGATGTGGAACGAGTTGTTCCAGGGGGTGAGATGGAACGAAAATTCACCCAAAACTCGTCCTGTAGAACAGCTCGTTCCACCCGTTTTAGGCGCACCAAACGTGGAACGGAACGCTTTGTCCCACTCTGTTCCGTCCCGTTTCACGTACCAAACGGTACCTCAATGTGCGGCGGAGTCAGGCTTGGCCTTGGCAATCAGTGTTGGAGGTGGACTTGGACCGCTTGGTTTGGCAGCTGGAGGCGGAGGCGGCGAGATTTCAAATTGAATTATCATATATGTATGAAAATTTGGTTCCTTTCCGCGACGAATTTGGATCATTTTCAGATTTCACTGTTGAAGTTTAAGAATTAGAAAATTTGAGCTTTTATTTTGTGTGGAAGAAATATCATAACTTTTAATTTGTATGACGTGAGTCAACAAAATAAATTAATAAAAGCTATTAAATTTTATTTAAATGATTCGAATTGTCCGATCTTTAAATCCGAGATAATGAAATTGGACAAGATCTCTATCCTTCCACGACCTTCGCAATACCCGATAAGTCAACGCAAAATTTATCTTAAGTGACCGATAAAATTACCTAATCAGCAATTAGTCAGCAGGTATAAATCTACCGTGGTGACTGTAGAAATTTCAGAGACAAAAAAACCCTAACCGGACAAAGCCTGAGTGGGTTTACCTTCCCCCAGTTGACCAGACATTTTAGCCCGAAACCAGAAAACCCTTCAAAATTCACTGCCCCTCTCTCTCCTCCCCTGTCCCTCTCTCTCCTCACACACACACACACATTCTCTCTCTGTATATCTCTCTATCTCTGTTTGTGCAATTTTTGCTCTGATTTTTTGTCTATTTTTGAGGTTTTTTTTGCAGCGAAGAAGATGGAGTCGTGCGCCACTGAGAAAAAGGGCATCTGGGTTGGCTCTCTTTTGGAAGCAATGGTGGTCGACACTGTCGTTGCTGCTCACAACTCCCTTGCTCTGCTGCTCCTTGCGGTATACTTATCTCTCTCTCTCTCTCTTAAATTGCTCTTATTTGTTCATAATTTTGTGTGTAGTATTGTGACATGGATTGAAGTGTTAAAGTTTCATGCTTTTGTTGTGATTTTTACTTTTTACTGCTCGAGATCTAAAAAATCTGCAGCTTTTTAACTGAACTATTATTTCAGAATTTGGGGTTTTTTTTTTCGGGCTTTTACAATGGTTTTGAAATTTGAATCATTTTTTTTTTTGATAAATTTAAGGGATGGAATTTGGTAGTTTTATGTATTAGGTTGTTTGGGGAAGAAAAGCCCTTTTTCTGCTTATCTTTCTTTTTTTAGAAAAGCACTTTGTATTATTGATTGTATGTTGTCTTAAAACTTGTATTTATTTTAATCAGGTTCTGGAGAATGTGGGTTTTTCTTGTTAATCGTTCACTTTCATTCTATTTTTTAATGTAGCATTGTGTTAAAGTTGCTTTATTTTGTATTGTTTGTCGAAATTTTGTGTAGAAACTAAATCGCTTGGATGTAATGTTACAAACTTCTTGACGCTCTTTTCCTAATGCTCTTGGTTTCTAGTTGGTTTTTCTTGTGAATAGTTCGCTTTCATTGTTTTCCTATGCTCTTGGTTTCTAGTTGGTTTTAGCTGACATAAATTTTTAATCTTTTTCATATACCGTTATTTCTTTTTTAAGTTCATGTTTATTCTCCATTTTGTGATTGCATTAATACAATGAGGAGTCATAATTCCTTTTCATACTTATAAACTTAGAACAATAGATTTACTAAAATGACCTAATTTAGACCCCGTCATGAGAACAGAGTATTGCCGCAAAAAAATTTGTGCATACATTGCATATATGGTGTTACCATTTCTGCGTTTAAGATAACAATTCTGCACTTTCTAACTTTCCTAACACTATAAATGTAATTGTTGTTGGGGCTGTAGCACCGGATTTTACATTGACCACATATTGCGGTAGTTTTAGTTTTGAACATCTGGCTAAAGTTTGTTTAGTTTATCATATTATGGAGTGATGTAGACCTTGTATTGGGATTTCTATTTTGTTGTCGACCAGATTTGGTATTGTACCATTGTTGATAAGCTATGAAGTATGTTTTGCAAACTTGTTTTGGTTTGCTGGGCTCGCCTGCTGCATTATGAGCCGCATGCCTTAATGCCAGTTTTAAAAACCATTTTATGAACTGGGATATGCATGTTTACAGAAAACGAAAGCCTTGTGTTATTTGTTATTTTCTCTTTTTAAAAGCTGTTCACCAACACCAGTTATCGCTGTTTCAGACTGGGGCACTGATGAATGGTATCAATATGTCACCGGAATTGACTGCAATCACAGGAAGGTAATGAAATTGTTTTTCTGTTCATCCAATACCAGCATCAATGGTTTTTGAGGGTATAATTGAATCTAAGTTGGCGACTGTTGCTTCCTTCTTCAGGTTTCCTTTTAAAGAACTTCTCAAAGTGGAAAAACCTGGTGTGGAAAACAAAGATGCTAGTGATACAGAGGATGACAACGAGGATGAAGATGATGAGGAGGTGGATGACCCAGAGGATGATGATGCCAGAGATGAGGACTTCTCAGGTGACGAAGGGGCAGATAAAGAAGGAGATCCAGAGGATGATCCTGAAGCCAATGGCGACGGAGGCAGTGATGAGGATGATGATGAAGAAGACGACGATGATGACGATGGTGATGATGACGATGATGAAGATGAGGATGGAGAAGAAGAGGAAGAAGAGGAGGAAGAGATTCCACAGCCACCTGCTAAGAAGAGGAAGTGAGAAGAGGAGCCACCAGTCCTTTGCCATTGTGTTGTTTCCGTTTCAGTAAGGAGTTATGAAGTAGTGAGGCAGAATTTAGCTTGTCAGTTTGATCGGAGTAGAATTTGCATTCCTTGCCCTTAATGAACCGCAGATGTTATTAGTTATCGTCGAGATACATTGTTCTCGTATGAAAATCAGTAGACGTCTTTGATGTTACGTTGAGAATCTTCGTATGTTCTGTTAAACCTCTTTGATCGATTTATATAAGTTTGGGATTCATAAAATTGACTGAAACCAACTGTTTCTTTCTTCTCTTGTTTGCTGTCTTGGAGAAACCAACTGGTTCTTGAGCTGTCCAGGAGTTCGTCGTCTTGAAAGGAAAGGAACCATCTGTTTCTTCAACACTTATTTCCGTCGAGGGCAGGTCTATCATTACTCGCACTTCGTGTTGGTGGAACGAAAGATGTGCATGTGATAAGAGAGATGCACACATTGTGATCACCTACAGCAGCCGTTCGTTCCACCAACGGTTGCTTTTATCCAGTTGCTAATAAGCCTACGTTTGATCTAGGCTGGGATTAGAGCTAAACAGTCCAATCCTAGTCGTAGTCCTAGTCCTAGTTCATTCAATCAAACGCGCTCTCAGAGCTTAGTATATATCATGTTAACGATGAACAATTTACGCTACGAAAACATATAATGTGACATTAGTGCAATTTATTACAAACAATGGAATTTGCCGACGTCCTTGCGTTAAGAAAGTATTGGAGTTCTATGACAATAGAATGAGACGATGAAGTTCGGAACAGAAGCAGAGTACAGTGATCTCGGGGATTTGGAGACGTCCTCATCCTTTCCAGTTGCGCTCTGCTGAATAACCTACAAAGTAATGGGTACGTAACAACAAACGTTAATAAAAGGCATCCAGCATTTGCAGAGTTCCATGGGAAAGATGCATATATAGACCACATCCTGCAAGGCCCGTCAACGGTCTTTTAAACTGAAAGGAAATGCTCAGCCACAGCTTTTGAAAACATGAATTCGCATTCAACCAGCAAATCTTGCTTAAGTTTAAAAGAGAAGGAACATGGTTGGCTGCAATACCATCAATGAGTATCGCATAGTCAGACTAACATCACTGAGGATGACGGAAGAAGAACTATGCATATATAGAATCGAAGGTTGATAATTTAGGTTAAGCAAGATATCATGACATATGCGATTAAAAGAAATATTTGAATCAACTAAAACTACAATGATCAAAGGTGGTGATGATATTATTGAAAATTGCAGAAAACAACTAGGTTCGAGGGTACCGGGGTTGAAGTCTTAGTCTAGGCATGGCGGACCAGGAAAATAGAAAGGGTAAAATTATCGAACTCTGTTGTTGCCTTTTTCAGCTCCTTCTAGTTTGAAAGCAAACAACGATTTTCCGCTCGTTGAAAGAAATCTTAAAAACTCAACAATGAAATGATCATACTTGAATTAAAACTGAGAAGCTAATGGTGCACTAACTTGTTCTTTACTTAATGGATAGAAGAACAAGGCGATATCAGCATTTTAAAGATTTCATTTCGCAGAATCGACACAAAATCAAAGGGAAATCCATATTCCGCCATACCCCCGAAAGCTTCAATCACTTAAACAACCATGCCATTGCAATACTAAACATCCACACACATGATTCTACCACAAAGTCACCAAATTCAAATTTGTTGCAACCAAAATTCCTCACAACCCCACATTGTAAGATCACATCAGAAGTATTCAAAAGAACAGAAATTTCCAAACACAATTGAATCACAAAACTTACCACATTCACTCAGTAACGGGCAGCTTCCCAGCTCGAAAAGTCGCAAACTTTGACACTTCGGAGTAGGAATACCGAACACCATTTTCCTTCAAGAAGTCCTCAAGCACCACCTTCACTCCTTCAGGGTCAGAACTCTCACACTCAATCTCATAACAAGTACCAAAATCATACTTAGTCTCATCCACCTCCAATTTCAAGCCTTTCCAATCATACACATCCCTCACATTCCTAAATCCTCCCAATCCCACAAACCCTAAAACCCCAAATTCCTCCCTCACCCTCCTCAAAACCCTAGACTCCGCGGCCATCAGCTTATCCGGCTCGGCGACGCAGGCCCGCCCGATCGAGTGATCAAACTCCTCCTCGTCCTCCTCCACTCGGCTGACGCCATCGACAAGCACCGCCCGCGCCTTGAGCGTCACGGCGCAGAGAGGACTCCTGTCGGAGAATCGTAGCCGGAGAACCGCTCGGCGGGCCGAGAGCTCGGCTTTGGAGCCGTCAAAAAAGAAATTCTCTTGGCGATGCGTGGCGACGAGGAATGGCGCCAGGAGGGTGGTGACTTGGCGGTGAGCGGCAGCGTCGAGGAGCCTGAGCTTGACCTCGACTTCCATCAGAGCTTTGGGGATTTGAGACATGAAGGTTTTTTGAGGGCGTTCGAGCTTCGATTACTGAGGAAGGCCGATGCGGTGCGTTTTGGAGGAGGTGTCTTTGGCGCGGTCGAGGTGGTGGAGGAGGGTAGTGGCGGCGGTGGTTGTGGTTGTGGTGGAGGAGGCGGCGGCGCGCAGCTTGCGAGCTTCTTCGAGTTCGTCTTTGTCTTCGATTTTGAGTTCGATCTTGGTTGGCTTTCGTCTCAGCATTTCTGCTCTCTCAAATTTCATCACTTGTTGACATCCACTGCGTCTTTTATACGTTTTGGATTGGGCCTACAAAGTAGTATTGGGCTTTGATTCACTGAGGCCCGCTTGGTATCGTTTTTATAAGAAGCACTTATATCATAAACATTTTCGTAACATGTGCTTTTATTTGAAAGAAATAAAATTGTTTTTCGAAATTTTAAATGCTTCTTGAAAAAAAAAAAATTGGAAGTGCTTTTTGAAGAAGCACATGAGTGATACTTCTCCAAAAACCGCTTATATAATCATAATTGATATGTAGTTATTACATCTTGCATAATAGTAAATCCCTTGTTTTGAAAAAAAAAAAAAAAGGGATCAGGCTGATCAGCTGGTGACCAAGCTACAGCAGTCTAGTTTTTTGGGAGTCGAAAAAGCTTATAGAAGCATTTCATCCTTTCTCTGTCCACTATCGTGTGATAAATCCCTTTGTTCTGAAACTTCATTTAAGATTTTCTATTTTATTAAAGAATAAAAACTGATTAAATTTAAATGCAGTGATAGATCATCACTTTAACTGAAGAGATTCTTTAAGCAAATTACAGTTTCATCAATTCACATTAAACGTTTCAAATTTTCACATAAAAAATAATAAACTATTAAAATCTCCCATTCTTCAACCTTGATCCTCAAGCTCCCCAGCACCATGGCGGCAAAATCCCCAGCAAAATTCTCCATGCTGTTCTTGCTTGTGGCTTGTGCGGCAAACATGGACGTAGCACTGTTGGCCGCACCGCCAGCAGCATCACTACTACCCATGTTGCCGCACGGCCCTTGGGAGTCGGGACTTCCAAGGACAAGGACATTTCCAGGTCGGCCCGGCTGGAAAGAGCTCCGACAATGCTGGGCTCCTCTCCAAAGTGTAATAGGCTGCGTCGATCAGATTTACGATGCGCTCTCCAACGCCCGATTCGACCAGGTCGGGCCGGCTTGTTGTAAGGCCGTCGCTGAAACGCTTGACGATTGTTGGGCCAAGTTGTTTCCTTTCAACCCATCTTTCCCTCCATCTCTCAAGAGCTTTTGCACTGCTCATCCACCTTCACTCAAGTCAACTTGAATAAGGTTTATCGTGTCACACCGTTACGTTGTATTACTGATAGATTAATGTTATAACTTGTGGATCAAATTATCAATCTTATATCCTAGGTCATGCTATATTAACTATAATGACAATAATACGTGACGGTATGAATGTTACAGCAAAATTTAATTTTGCTTTTGAGAGAATCTCACCCTGGCTAGGTTGCTTTTGCATCAGTCTAGAGCATACGATGCTCTCTTCTCTTTTGTTTAGGTTGTTTTATGTAATAAAACTTTTTTATTTAGTTATGATTCCCTTGAGAACTTTGGTAAAATGCCCCTTTTGCAGGCCGAAAAAGATTTTTGCTCCTATTTTTTAAAATGTTATAGGATTCGTTTAAAAGAAGTTTTCAAATAACTAAAAACGTTTTTGGTTAAATTGATTTTAGGTTCCAAAAGCAGTTTAAGTGTTTTTTGGAAGAAGTATCATATATATACTTCTTAACGGAACAACTTAAAATTGATTTTCTAGGATCCACTTGGATTTTTACAAAAAATTGGTTTAAACAACATTTTCACTAAAAGTGCTTTCAGACATTTTAAGCTAGATTTAATTATTTCCAGAGTCTTTTAAATTGCTTAGAAACAATAGCGTATGAACTCGTTTCAACTAAAATTTTCTCTTATGAGCAATGAAGAAATACATGTATCTAACTTTATTTGTTAGCTAAAACCAAAGAGAAATCTAAATAGGTATGAAATCGTAATCAGGGTATTAATTCCTGTCTCTTTTTCTAATCATCTACTTATTATTGTTCTTTTATTTATTCGGACGGTGGAACCAGCTTCGAATTAGGTCGCTGCATACACTTTATATACGCATACTAGCTGTTTGCATGCATTTGTAATTACGTGATAACTTTGATAAGGTATATATCCCATTTCAAAACAAAACATGCATCAACGACAAACTCTAGGACTGATCATGTATATATATAGAACTAGAAAGTCGGTGTTGATTATGATTAGCCTAATCACATGTTAAAACGACCCATGTATATACGGGACGGATCCGTGACGTCATTTTTTTACACAACACGTTTTTGTGGAATATATTCCGTAATATATTTTAACGACCCGAACCATCATCTTTCGGGCCTTTCTTTAAAAATGAGAGAGAGAGAGAGAGAGAGCAACTTCTTAGCGTGCTGTAATAAAATCTGAGAAAATGTATATAAGAGTATCGTAAGAAACAAGTATTTACCAGAAGACTTATTTGTATGTCCTTTTCTTTTGTTTTCCTTTCTTTACAGCTATGTAACTTTCTAGATCATTTCTTAGACTGAGCCGACCCATTTTGTTTTAAGTAATGGTTTTGCGTGGGACTGCAGCTAGCCCGCAGTGATGAGGACCTTTCATGAGTCATACTTTCGATGTTCTTTTTCTTAATCCTAAAAAATAAAAGGTTTTGTTATTTGAATTGAAAATCAAATTTATCAGAAAATTAGACTTTTGATCTACCAAATCTACTTCGATTTGGTCTCAAAAGGTCTCTTTTGAAAGCGGAAGAAATCCTCAGAAGGATTCTCTCTCAAAATATGTCATCTTGACCTCTAAAATACCCAAAACGTCCAGAAACGTCAATTTGAAAAAGTTGCGCGCTGGACCTTTATTTCATTGCCACGGCCAAATGGCTTGGTAGAAAAATCTGAAATTTTGAAAAAATCATCTTGAAAGACTCACGAACATCCACCAATTGGAATCACTCCAAAATTCATCCATTTGGTCACTTTTTGCTCCACAGGAAGTCGAATGTCCTACATTGAAAATACATAACAAAGTATCAAAATTCTACCAAAATAATCAATAAACTATAATTAAGAATAAGGTAAAATATATAATATAATATCGACTCATCAACAACCCTGTTGGATAACCATTTCGTTTTTGTATTCGCTTCTAATTTATTAAATATCCAGGTAGGGTCCTAATAATGTAGTCAAGGTCTTTGTTCTCATCCAAATGCAAAAGGACAGTACGAAGCAGTCACCAAACTTGATGCTAGTGGAATATAGTTCAGTCATAGTCCTTCACAAGAAACAGATAAACCACCCAAAATATCCTCTCCTGTATATCTACAGCCTATCAAATATAAAGGGTGTTGAATCTACCATTATTATCCCTTGAATTTTCAAGTGGTTGGCATTTAAACTTCAAAGTCCACCGCTTTTTCTGTTCCAAGTTTTCGTACTTCAATAATTTACATGGTCACTTAGATAGAACTCCATAGCCTAAACACTTGCAAAATTCAGCAACTCCATCAAATTTTCATGGAAAATCTTCCTATCCGTAAAATCCCTATCCCTCTATTTTCCGTGCTTGTTTTTCTCCTCCATTTCTCATCCCTTCACTTTCCCTCGTTGGCTTATGAGCCCCCTGATAAGTACTTCATCAACTGTGGGTCAAATGCTAATGCCACCTTCAATAACCATGTCTTCACTGCAGATCGTTTCTTCCACTCGAATGCGAGCAGCTGTATCAATGGCGGCAACCAGTCGAATCTTTACCTTACAGCAAGAATTTTCAGGCAAGAATCCTACTATAAGTTTGACATCACTGAAAACGGTACTTATTATGTACGTCTGCATTTCTTGGCTTTCGCCTCTTCCTCAAGTAATCTCTCCGCTGCTACTTTTGATGTTTCGGCTTTTCCTAATATTTCGAATTCTGGATTCATGTTGCTGAAGAATTTCACTGCTAAGAATAGTAGTGGCAATTCTACGATAAAGGAGTTCTTTCTTGGCGTTCATCCTGGCTCATTTAGGATATACTTTACGCCTCGTGGATCGTCTTTTGCATTTGTAAATGCCATTGAAGTCTTCCTTGCCCCTGCAAATTTCAGCCCTAAGAATTACACAAGTAGTTCCCCATTAGTTCTACATACAATTTATAGGGTGAATGTTGGAGGTCAAGAACTCGGACCAGATAAGGACAAACTATGGCGAAACTGGGATCCTGATGATCTTTATCTGTTGAAGTCAAACCCTGTATGGAAAGTTGGACCCTTACAGACGCCTAAGTACTTCAAGTATGAAAACGAGTATGTAAATGATGGTTTTGTTGCTGCTGCTAATTATTTTATTGCCCCAGATTTAGTTTACGAGACTGCCAAAGTAATGAACAATGGTAGTAGCAACCCATCCATTTTGTTCAACATAACCTGGTCGTTTAATGTTCGCAGGAACGCTAAACATCTCGTCCGGGCACACTTTTGTGACCTTGTTGGCCAATCTGGCGACATTGTTTTTAACTTGTATTCCAATGGAAACTTCACTAAGAATGTCAGTAATTCCGTGTTTAGCTACCAGATCCCTTACTACTATGATTTTGTGGTGGAGTCTAAGGAGTCTGAACTCATTAACATCAGCATAGGTCCTAACGTAGAAAAAACTGACACTAACAATTCCTTTCTAAATGGACTGGAAATGTTGGAAATAATGGAGGAATCGGCACCAATTCCATATATGAAAGAGCCCAAGAGCATAAATGTCACTGTTGTGGTTGGTTCGGTTCTTGGAGGTCTGTCTCTTATCTGCGTTTTGGTTGTCGGGTTCTTGTTCGGTTTGAAATACAGAAAGGCAAAGCATGTTGAAACTTCGGAAGGGTCACCAATGCCTGCATTTGGAGGAGGGAGTACCCACAGCAGGTTCAGTGAGGGAACGATTACTGGCTCCCCTATAACTTATCTAAATCTTGGGTTGAAAATGTCTTTTGCTCAACTTCAGCAAGCAACGAACAACTTTGACACAAAATTTCTGATAGGCAAGGGTGGCTTTGGGAACGTCTATAGAGGAACTCTATCAGATGGCAGAATTGTAGCTGTCAAGCGAGGTAAGCGACATGAACATAGTTCAGGTCAAGGGCTTCCAGAGTTTGAAACAGAGATAATGGTTTTGTCCAG